CATGCTCGATCTAAGCTCTCTTGCAAATATTGCAAGAAGGAAGGACACCGCATTGAGACATGGTTCAAACTTCATCCTGAGTTATGTTCCTCAGGTACTGGTCGTGGTCGGCGACCCCCTCAGTCTCAACCCTCTCGTACACCAGGATTGCTGGCCAATGTTATACCTTCTACTACTTCAGACTCTACTATTCAAGCTATTGAAAGTCTTCACCGTCAACTTGATGCTTTTCAACATATCACCTCTACATCCGCCGCACAACTCTCTGGTATGCATTTTGCTGGTTCTTCAGCTAATCCTTCGGTCTCTGGTATGAATGATCTCTGGATTTTTGACTCTGGTTGTTCCTTTCATATGACTTGTAATGCCTTACTTTTATCCTCTGTCTTTACTTTATCCTCTCTTCCTCCTATCTACACAGCTGCTGGACAACCATTGTCCATTACTCAGTATGGCTCTATTACCCCACAAAATAATCCATCTGGTCGTCTAACACTTGGTCTCGTCTATGTGGCTCTTCAGTTGTGCTTGAATTTAATTTCTATTAGCTCTTTATGCATGGCGGGCCTGTTTGTTTCATTTTCTTCTGATACTTGTATTGTGCAGGATCCACAAACGGGCAAGACGGTTAGGGCGGGTCGTAAGAGGCACAAACTGTATTTTTTGGAATATCTTCACCTTCCAGAGTCCATACGTTCACGTTCTCTTGTTGCTTCTCTTCATTCGTCAAAACCCTCTACCTCGCTTCCTGCCAATTTATGGCATAGATGACTTGGTCATGTGTCTAATAAAAGACTGGAGAGTCTTATTCAGTCTGGAGTACTTGGTCCTGTATCATCTAGTTCTAGTATTGAGTCATGTACTGGTTGCAAATTAGCTAAATTCACTGTTTTACCATTTAAAATGAGTACATCCGTATCCACTTCCTTATTTGATTTAGTACATTTTGATATTTGGGGGCCAGCTCCTTTGCCTTCTTCATCTGGCTACTTATATTATGTTAGCTTTATCGATGATTTCTCTCGTTTTACATGGGTTTACCTACTTAAGAATCGCTCTGACGTACTTACTGCTTATCAAGCCTTCACTGCTATGATTTTCACTCAATGGCAATCTCGTATTAAAGTTTTTCGTTCTGATTGTGCCAAAGAGTACCTATCCTCTGCCATGCGCTCTATCATGTCCTCTCATGGGACTATCTTTCAACAGTCATGTCCATACACTCATGAGAAAAATGGTGTTGCTGAACGCAAACATCGTCATATCCTCGATACTGCTCGATCAATGCTCATTTCTTACTTTGTTCCTCGTCGTTTCTGGGCTGAGGTTATTCTCACCGCGACTCATGCCATTAATATCACTCCATCTAGCTTTCTTTCCGGTGCTACTCCTTATAGTCGTGTTTATACTCATCCTCCCCGCTATGATCTAGTTCGTGTTTTTGGTTGTCGGTGTTTTGTTCTTCTGCCATCTCACGAACGTGATAAATTATCTCCCAGAGCTATTTCTTGTGTTTATTTAGGAATTAGTTCAGAACATCGAGGTTATCGTTATTATGATCCCGCAACTCGTCGAGTTCATATATCTCGTCATGTTCAGATCGAAGAGGATTCTCCATATTATTCTGCTTCTGATAACTTTAATTTCCTCCACTCTACTGATCATGCTTCCCCGTCAACTGCATCACCCACTTCTTCACCTTAATTTTTCTTTCGAGATCTCCCTGACATCTCTCCCTCTCCTTCTGTTGACTCTTCCTCACCCGAGTCTTCTCTTACACCATCTAATATATCCCGTGGACACAACTCTCACTCCAGAAAATACTGTTGATCTTCACGCACCTGCGTTAGCATCTCCCCCGCCTGAGGTTCCTCTTGCTCTTCGTCAAGGCAAACGCCCACATGTCATGCCTGTCCAGTATGCTTCTGTTACTTCTCATTCACCTATCTTTCATAACTTTCTTGCTGCCATTCATACTATTGTTGAGCCAAAGTCCTTCCAAGAGGCAGTTCAAATTTCAGAGTGGCGACAGGCTATGGCTGAGGAATTTCAAGTCTTTCAGCAAACTCATACTTGGGATGTTATTCTCTGTCCTCCTGGGATCTCTCTTGTTAGCAGTAAATGGGTTTATAAGGTCAAGTTTTGTCCTGATAGCACCATTAAACGTCAAAAAGCTCGTTTAGTGGCTCGAGGTTTTACTCAGCAATAAGGTATTGATTATGAGAAGACCTTTGCTCCTGTTGCTCAGATGCCCACTGTTCGTACTCTTCTTGCGGTCACTGATGCTCATCGTTGACCCTTATACCAGATGGATGTCAAAAATACTTTTCTTCATGGCTCTTTATCAGAGACTGTATATATGCAACCGCCTCTAGGATCAAATATTCCTCCGGGACATGTATGTCTCCTTCGCCGTGCTGTTTATGGTCTCAAGCAGGCACCCCGCGCTTGGTTTGAGTGTTTTTACGATGTCGTGCTCAAAGCAGGCTTTATAGAAAGTCATCAAGATGCTTCTCTGTTTGTTCGCACTACATCGCGTGGCAGAGTTTTATTACTCATCTATGTAGATGATATGATCATTACAGGTGATGATATGATAGGTATACAATACGCAAAATCTCAGTTGCAACAACAGTTTCACATGAAGGATCTTGGATCTCTTCAGTATTTTCTTGGTCTAAAAATTTCTCATGGCCCGCGGGGTGTATTACTATCTTAACAGAAGTATCTCTCAGATATTCTAAATCAAGCCGAGCTAACTGACAATACAACTATTGATACTCCACTCCAGCAGAATGTCAAACTTTGCTCTACTGACGATGAGCCTCTATCTGATCCTACCCGATATCGATATTTTGTTGGCCAGTTGGTCTATTTGTGCATCTCTCGACCAGATATCTCTCATGCTGTTGGTATTATCAGTCAATTTGTTAGTGCCACACGTTCTGTACACTATGCTGTCTTATTACAGATTCTTCGGTACCTCCGGGATACTAGCACTCGCTCTTTTTTGTTTCCTACTACATCTAAGTTAGAGCTTTGTGCATATTCTGATGCTGATTGGGCTGGTGATCTAATTATCATAAAGTCTACCATAGGTTATTATATATTTCTTGATGATTTCCTTATTTCCTGGCGAAGTAAGAAACAAGATGTTATTACTCTTTTCAGTACTGAGGCAGAGTATCGTGCAATGTCCACAACAGCTAAAGAGATTATTCATCTTCGTCGCCTTCTCAGTGATTTCAGCATTTCTATTACGACTCTTACTCCTCTCTACTGTGATAATAAGAGTGCCATCCAGATTGCTAATAATCCAGTATTTCATGAAAGGACCAAACATATTGAGATCGACGCTCATTTTGTCCGTCACCAAGTTATCAAGAACAAGGCAATTCTACTTCCTCATGTTTCATCCGCGGATAAGCTTGCAGATTTCTTCACAAAGGCCTTACCTGTTCATCGGTTCCAGTTTCTTGTACGCAAACTCACTTTGTTTGATCCAACATGAGTTTGAAGGGAGCTGTTGATAATAGTGTATTGTAGTGGGTTTTAGTCCCATATTGCTTGAGAGAACAAACCTCACACTCCTCTACTTGTATAAATATATATGCACACTTAATATTCAACTCAAGGGAAATTTACCTAAGATTCTCTCTCTTACTTTAACAAGTAGCAACGGTCTCCATGGTTCAGCGCCTACTGATATTTCCAATCTTTCCAATTTGCATTACGTATTCCTGGACCTTTCCATAAAAGATAATCTTACTGCTGACGGTTCCTCACTGCTCAATGGAAGTTGGAGGAGAATTGAGACATTGATATTGGCTTCAAGTAAGGTGTATGAATCACTTCCTAAATCTACTGGAAACATCATTTCACTCATGAATCTTGATCTGTTTCTTAACAGCATATCAAGAGGACTCCCAAGCTCTATTGGTAAGATCTGCGGCTTAAATCTCTTGAGATTAATGGGAAACAATCTGACACTTGGACTTCCTGAATCTCTTGAGAGGTCTTCTACCTGTAGCTCTGAGAGACCTTTGCCTAGTTTGATCCATTTGTCCTTGAGCAGTAATAATATTGCAGGGATTTTACCTGAATGGTTGGGTGAGTTTGGAAATCTACAAGCGCTTCAGCCTGGTTACAATTCAATTCTGTTCGATTCCCCCGACTCTAGGGAACCTATCACTTCTTACAGACCTGAGACTTGAAAGAAATGAACTAAGTGGTACTCTTCCTAGTACTCTCAGGCAACTTTCTGAACTAGTTGACTTGGATATCTTGTAGAACCAGCTATCAGGCATAGTGTCAGAATATCACTTCTCAAAGCTAAACAACCTTAAACTCTTAGATATGACTTCCAACTCCTTGATCCTAAGTGTTGAGTTCTAATTGGATTCCTCCATTTCAAATTCGGAGTTTAGGCATGGGTTCACATCAATTGGAATCAAATTTCCTTCTTGGCTCAAAGACCAAAAGGAGTTCATGTTTCTGGTTTTTTCAAATTCTAGCGTCTCTAGCAAGATACCAAGTTGGTTTTGGGATCTCTTCTCAAGCCTCTCTCTACTGAACATTTCTTTCAATCAGCTACCAAACTCAGTTCATGTCGCACCTTTTGCTGATATTGACATGAGATCAAACTTCTTGAGTGGCTCCATACCAATAGTGTGTAAGACAGTTGAACTACTTGATCTTTCTCAGAATCAGTCCTCAGGTTCTATTCCATCTCATATTGGCGAATAGCAGCCATATGTGATATACCTATCTTTCTCCAATAATAATTTATCTGGTGAAATCCCATCATCAATGGGAATAATGCAACTATTACAAGTCATTGATTTCTCGAGGAACAATTTGGTCGGAACCATCCCTCCAAGCTTGCATAATTGTTCTTATCTCAAAGCTCTTATACTAGATTACAACAATCTCTCTGGATTCATTCCTTCTTCATTAGGAAGCCTGCATCAACTTCAAAGTTTACACCTCAGCAACAATAGATTGGTTGGTTCAGTCTCACCATCCTTGCAAAATTGGTCGAGTTTGGTAATTCTCGATCTCCAGAGTAATGCACTTCAAGGAGTTATTCCATCGGTTTGGAGAGAGGTTTCCGGATCTTAGAATCCTTCGACTGAGCTCAAATAAATTCTCAGGACAAATCCCATCTCAGATTTCCAACTTGAGCTCCTTGCAAGTCTTTGATTTCGCAGAAAATGATTTTATCGGCACAACTCTTGAAAGCTTGGGGGATTTGAAAGCAAGGGCCAGTTCAAGAAAGATAAATCCTTGTCTGCTCTATGGAAAATACAGGGGGACTTACTATGAAGAGAGACTATTGGTGCAGGTGAGCAGCAGAGCACAATTGTAGACCAAAACTTTGTCACTTGTAATCAGCATTGATTTATCAGGCAACAATACCTCAGGGGAATTCCCATCAAATTTGATAAAACTTTCCGGTTTACTTGTTTTAAACCTCGCCAACAACTTTCTACATGGAACAATCCCAAACCAAATTAGCAATTTACACGAGTTGCTATCTATGGATCTCTCGAGCAATCTCCTCTCGGGGCCCATTCCTTCTTCAATGTCATCAATGACCTTTATGAGTTTTCCTAACCTATCAAACAATAATTTTTTGGGGAAGATTCCATCAACAGGCCAATTTCCAACTTTTAGTGCATCTTCATACTCCAGAAACAAATTCCTATGTGGAGCTCCTCTTACAGTCCAGTGTGAGAGGAGTAGTTCCAGAGAGAAAGAAAGTAGGGATGATACTGATGGAGCGATAAGAGATAAGTGGCTTAGTCTTAGCATTGGTCTCGGTCTTGCAGTGGGACTCTTGGGATTGCTTGCAGTTGGATTGATTGCAGTTGTATCAATCAAAAAAAAACATGGAATACTGCTCACTTCAAGTATGTGGATTGGATAATTGATAAAATTGCGGGAAGCAATAATGATTTTGCACATGATAGAAGCGGGTAAAGTAGAAGAGGCGGGTGGTGAAACTTATTCTTAACATGAGCTTAGTCCATCTAAAATGTACTTCCTATGGTTTGAGCATGTTTTATTAATCACTATGAGTCCTCATAAAGTCTATGTGCTATGTAAATTGCAGCAATATTCTGGCATCAGAGTGTTTGTACCTACATCCATAGTGAAAATACATGAAAATTTATGTTTATGAATTATGATGTAAAATTATTCCACTTGTTTCAAGGTTTCTCTTCAAAACACTATTTTAATGCGCGCTTGCCGCAACTGCATGAGGGAAGAACTTGTGCTATAAATGAAATACCAGGATCTTTTAGCAAAACACACACATACATATACATACAATTATACATATACACACATCTTCATCCATCCATCCATCATCCATACATACACATACATACATACATCCATTAGTACATATATCTACATATATCATTATATCTATATACACGCACAGCAAGAACAGAAAGGCAACAACAGCAGCAACAGAAACAGAAACATCTGTTAAGGCACCGCCACAACCTGTTTGGGTGAGGTACATGAACTTTTCTATACACATACATATATCTAGACACACAGAGCAAGAACAGGAGAGCAATCGCAACAGCACAGAAACAACCACAAAAGCACTGCCAACCTGTTTGGGCCAGCTACATGAACTTTTCTGCAAGGAATACTATTAATTTGTATCATACACAACAATATGTATGACTCTTACTTTCTTCTGTATCTTACTCCCATTTCTTTATTTCATTTTGCAGTTTATTCAGGCAGGTTATGATTATCATGATTAGACATTTAGAAAGTTATTCAAACACTTACAATAAGGTATTCGAATTAAAAAGGGTCAGCTATATTATTATTCACTTCCCTGTATTTTCTCCTTTCACTGAAATAATTGGATGCACTTTTTATCTGTGAATGGACCAGTTAATGCTAAATTTGATTTTTAAACCATTTGAGGAAGCCTCAGGTTGAATTATAAGTTTTCCAAAACAAGTGTGATATTTTGGATTATCGAAGATATAAACAACTATTGTAAGAGTAAAGATTGCCATTTTTAATAATAATTTTTTTAACATTTTAATATCCTAAAGTCACTAATAATAAATTTCAGAAAATATTAGGTCCGTAAGTAATATAGATTTATTATTTCTGATACACACACACACACATATATAACTGATTAAATTTATTTGGATTCATTATTAGCATGGCAAATATTTATATAGATGATCGTTTATAATAATATATTACTAACTAATTACTAACTAATAGTTTATAGAAATTATTTAATTAAATCACATATATCAAACATTTCTTAAGTAAGTAATTATATAAGTATATACATTTGGGGGGTGGGGTAGGGGAGGTTACATACGGGAACTGCAGTAATAGAGAGGAGGTTCCAACCGTGCTTCGCACGGGCAAAAGACTAGTATATCTATACACAGAGAGCAAGAACATAAAAGCAACGACAACGGCAACAGAAACAACCATAAAGACACTGCCAACCTGTTTGGGCTAGCTACAACTTTTCTGCACTGAATACTATTAAGCGTAAGTTACTATTTTAAATTGGCAACTACCGAATCATTCTTGTACAGTTTGGTTGTTCTTATCCTAGTTGCTACAACTATAATCCTACCATTCCTCCTTATTGGAATGCTCCTGCACATAATGGATGCTCCTGCATATGTGAAGTTACTTCTTGAAAATTTCCTCATTTCTTATCCTATATTTTACCATATTTATCAAAATCCTTAGTTTCGGACATATATATATTTTTCAATTGGCATTCATTCTGAACGTAAAGCATTGCCGAAGTTATACCAGAATTATTATATGTTCCTTCAATTCATGGATATTCTACAAGCTAGATCTCCTGAAATATTTACTCACTTCAAATAAGATCCTCTAAGATATTATTAATATTGTTTATGTTGCTGAGTCGCGTGCGAAAGCGGTTTAAAGCGGTATTAAAGCGGCTTACAGTCGACCAATTTTAATGATGAATTTAAAGCGCAAAGCAGTTTAGATAGGTAATTATGAATTTAAAGTGCAAAGTGATTTAGAAAGGCATTAAATCAGCTTCAAATATGTATAGTATATGCTAACTTAGACTATAGAAGTTTACATAGTGTTTTTCCTTTTTTTGTCTAGAGGATTCTTTTTGAAGGCTGGAGGAAATCGGAATATTGACTAATGACGATTGCATTTAATAGGTATTATTTCTTGCCTTTGATAATTTACATTAACTCATTGACATGTTGACTATTTGATGTTCATAGTTCATTACATGTTAGTTTAGCACGCTAAAATGTGCATAAGATATAGTTAATATTGTACGATTGAATCAAAGTATTCTTATGTATTTCATGTTTAGGATATCTGCAAATCAGCACATGTGATTTGTAGAATTTTTTTCTTCCATTTATTTTTTGTCGTATAATTTTTTCCATTTAAGCCTGAAAAAGCCTTAGCGGCATTTTCGCCACTTTTACTTAATTGGACATTTAAGTGGTGTTTTTAGCCTGCATTTGCAACACTGCTCCTTGATAAATAAGACTGTCATCCTTGGGATCCTTGGCATCAAAATATCCTGTTACGTTTAAGAACATGACGCTGAGTGGGTTTGTGTTGCAAATGTATGAACAAAAGCGCAAAGTAGTTAAAGCAGCATTGAAGTTAACTTAACATACCCGATTTTAATGGCGAATTTAAAGCTGAAAGCGGTTTAAAGTGGCACTGAATTAGTTTAAAGTGAAATCTATTTTTTCTATGTAGGGTAGTTTTTGCTACCTTAGACAGTACATGTTTATTTATTTATTTTTCCTGAGAGAATTCTATTTGAACTTTGGAAGTAACTTACAACATTAAGTAATGGTGATTGCGTTTAATTGGTGTGTTTTCTTCCTTTTAAGAATTTGCGTTAATTCATTTAACTTGTTGACTATTTGACGTTCATAATTCACTACATGTGTTTAACACGTTAAAATGTATACAATATTTTGTTAATATTTTGTGATTGAATCCAAGTATTATTAGTGTTGTAAAAAGCGGCAAATCGCACCGCTAATCGCGGAAACGGTGCTTTACCGCACCGATAAAGAGGATAGCAGGGTGTTTTGGTGGATAAAACCACTTTTGCTCGAAAAGCGGTGTTTAGCGTGAAATAGCGGTTTTTAGCGCTAAAAACCACTATCCCATTTCATAAATCCCTACCCGAACCCGATCCGAACCTGACCCAAAACCATAAAACATAAACCCATCTCCCTCTCGCCGCTCTGATTTTTGATCGTCAGCTGCCTGCTCTCTCTCTTGTGCCTCTCTCTTTCACCTCCTCCGGCAACGACTTTCAACGTTGTCTCCGGTAAACGTTGCATCCGGTCAATGCTATCTCCCGCACTAGCAGCAACACCTCCGTCTCAGCAACAACGCATCATCACCTCCATCTCCATCTCCCGCACCAGCAGCAACACCTCTGGTCAACAACCAGCAGCAACATAAGCCCATCTCTCTCTTGCCTCTCTCTCTCTCTCTCTCTCTCTCTCTCACTTCCTCCGACAACCAGCAGCAACACCAGAACTTCCCTCCGGCTTAATATTTATAAACGGTTATTATCTATCATGATATTATATTTCTTTTCTTATTTATCATGTTAAATTTCTAGTAGCTAATATAATGATGATGTTACTAATCAATACTTTTCTATTGCTGAGAATTTTTATATTAGAGACTTGAAAATTGAAGAAATGAGATAAATAACGGTCTTTTTGATAAACATGTATGTTTTTTATTCTTTATAATTATAGTACTCTATTAATATTATGCAATTGTTACACATCTATTTCATGCTTATGTATCAAATATGCATTTGTAGAATTCTTAGATTTTGATAAATTTTCTTATTTTTTAGAACATTTAAATATATTTATATTTGACCGCTATTTGACTATGCGCTATTTGCCGCTATTTTATTGCAATAGCCCCAAATAGCCTTAACAGTAACTCTCTGCGATGCGACGCTATCCGTTATCAGCAACCTTGAGTATTATACACAGATTTCATGCTTAAGATCTCTATAAATCATCACTTATGCATTTTTAGAAAATTTCCTCTATTTTTTCTTATTTTATAATTTTTAGATTTTCTTCATTTTCTTCTTTCTATCTTAATTTTTATCTCTATCTAAAAAAAAATTAAAATGAAAAAATTAACTTGGAACTTTGTCTACTTGAGCCCCAAAAAACTTCAACTGTCTTCTTGTCGCTTCCACTTAGTAGGGCACTTTTAGCCTCTTTTGTGTTTTTAGCTTCTTTTGTATTAAGTAGCCTCTTCTTACAACAATACTCCTTAATAAATGAGGTTGTGTCCTCCTAGCATTCTATGTTTATATTTGGAATAATAGAATGAAAGATTACCTCAGAACAAAGGTAGAGATGAAGACACTCTTCATCACATGATTAATACGATCATCTTTGGTATGGCAATATTGCCCTACATCGGAATAGACAACCATCTCGGAGCAACATGACATTTTGATTCCGAAATCTAGATTATTCTGTTTTGTTTTCTAATAGTTCTACTTAACTCCTCCTATCACACTTCTCTCTCTACTTCTCCACTATCTCTATGCATATTCTGGCTCTATTTCCTCTGATTACTTAATATAGATCTCGGATATCTCGCCGTGGTAGCTCAAAAAGGTAATAATTATAACTATTGTTCATGGGTATTCCTGACAAAGTGACAATCAATGTAAACTCCGCCTTCATTTCTTCTCACACTTTACAAATGTACACCCTACATTTTTTTGCAAATGTGCAATCTACATTTTTGCCCGCGCCCAGGTTGGGATCCTGAACACCCCCCTCTTTTTTTTGCTGAAATTGTCCTTCAAGATGCTCTTTTTGTTGTATTTTATTCTGATTTATGGAGGTTATCCGCAAAATGCGGAAACTTATTAGGGGTTTCTGCAATTCCAAAAGTTATTGGGTGTTTAGTGTGATTTTGGAAGTTATTGGTGGTTAACTAGAAAAAAGGTGGATATTCTTAGGGTTTAGTGCGATTTTGAAAGTTATTCAGTGTTTATCCCAAAGTATTGAAAGTCATTGGGGGTTTATTGCAAAACATAGAAAGTTCTTGAGGATTTAGTGTAATTTATCTTAATTATAACTACTCTTCTTGGGTATTCCCGACAATCAATGTGAACTCCAACTTCGTCTTCTCATAACTTTACCGGTGTATATTTGACATTTTTATTTCCTTTCACTAATTCTATATCTTCAAGATCTTGAAGGTTGAAGCTATTGTAGTTATGATCACACAATAAGCAACATGCATGTAATTGTGAGAAATGCAAAGGGCTAGAGGATCCTAATTCCCACATTTTCCTTGTTTTTCAAGTAGCTAGTATAAGCCTATTTTCTTCACTACCAACACTCACTTATAATCCTCTAAGGAATGACGCATCCTTAGCCCACTGCTAGTAACTTGTTGCTGAATTTGGATACAATCAACGAGACCTGTACGCTATCCAAATCGAACGATGCCAGCATTCAACCTTTAATGTTCTGAATTTTAAAAAATATATTTAACTTAAATTTATTAAGTCATTCTACAATTACATGGTCTCGAATTGCGACGGTTACAATCTTTATGCTAGATCACATTACTATTTGTCATCCATCAAACTAGTATCTCACACTTCATGATCAACCCCATCTGTCAGTAATAAACTAAAGGACAAATTTTTAAAAAGTACCATTTTTGAATTAATATTAGCAAAATTGACTTTATTATAGCAAAATTAGCAAAATCAACCGTTTTCTGCCATCTTGGTAGAAAACGGTTAATTTTGCTGGAAAAGGTTCGGGAATTATACGGGACTAGTAATCCCGTGTAATTAGAACACACTAATCTTCTCTTCATTGATGGTATAGCACTAGAAGACACGTTGACTCCTAAACAGTGGCTAATCACACGGGACTAGTAGTCCCTTGTAAATTAAAACTTCCGCTTTGCAAAACCAACCTTATTTTGGCCAGCGTGCCAAATGAGGTCGATTTTGTTAATTTTATTATCAAACGGTCAATTTCGCTTACATTGTTTCCAAAAAGGTTTATTTTAAAAATTTCTCCTAAAATATCTCTTTTAATACAACTGCAATTTTTTGAGGCATTTATTCATACACCTTAATTTCAAAGAAATCTCCCTTTTGAAACCAAAAGAAGCAATCACAGATAATTAAAAAATAATAATAAATAAATATATCTCCGTTATAGAAAACTTCAAGGAAATCCGAGAATTACCGAAAAAGGATCCAAAACTGGGCTAAAATCCTTCCTCTATTCGCAGCAGCCAGCAGTGTCCCCATCGTCATTGCTTTCTTTGAAGTATTCAGCAAGTGGGAAACCTACAAAGATGGAAGTTTTGGACAAAAAATGCGATTTCTTTTCAGAAAAAGAAAAGTCAGTAGTTTAATTTTTTGATTAATACCTAAAGCTGGCTGCCAATCTATCCCAGCTTCATCCCGTCGCTGAGAATGACAGTGTTTTGAATTTAGAATAGCGGCCTGAGAATTTTTAACTGATGAGTTGTCGTCTTTTTCAAGAAGCGTTATTTGTCTATATGCCCCCAAATCTTCCATATTTGTACGTTCTTCCCCCGAATCTTCGTAGCTGCAAATCTACGTCCAAAATTTAAGTTTGGCCCCGAATTGACCCAACGAATAAACCCTTCTTCCTTTTTCTTTTGTAAGCAAACTGTGGAAGGGTTAAAATAATCGTATTCCAAGATCCCCTCAAAATTCCACGCATATTATTTTATCTTCATAATATAACTCTTAATTTAGTTATTTGCTATTTACATACAATAGACCCTTCTTCCTTTCAATTGGGGGTTTTCTCTCAAAGGCATTTTACTCAAATGGTCAGTTCAGGTTAAGGGCCAATTTAGAAAAGTTTAAAGTTTAGGGGGGGTTGCGTAAGACCCCCAAGAATTCAGGAGAGTTAGTGAAATAAACAAAGTTTCAGGGGTTTTCGTGGGAAACACCCCAAAATTCACGGCGTTTTAACAATTTACTCTTCAACCCAGCAGCTGCAGCTATGCAGTGACTGTCCACCATTTACTAACTTCTTGAATTTTTTTTTTAATTATAAAAACCTTGAAGAGGCTTATTATTTAAGAATGGACTTCTCATTTATGCAGCCTTCTGATGTATTGACAAATAAGCCCTTCACCGTAAAGAGGATTATAGCACGAGCTTTGCTACAGGGACCCAAAATATGGGACCAATAGAGGGGACAAGTGAGGTGTCCCCCTCCTATTGGATAATAAGTTGGTCATCATTAATGATGACTAACTCATTATCCAATAGGAGGGGAACACCTCACTTGTCCCCCTATTAGTCCCATATTTTGGGTCCTCGGGGAATTTTTCTTATAGTACAATTCAGGCTCAAATTGAAGGGATACAAATAATTGCGTTCGAGATTGTTTCAATATACCGCCGGAAGTTTATAAGACCATCTCCAACCACCCTCCAAATCTCCAAAATCTCCAAATTTGGAGAGTGGAACCTCTCCAACCACTCTCCAAATTTGGAGATCTCCAAATTTGACCCTCCAAATTTGGAGGGTGGGGAGAAATTTTGGAGGGTCTCTCCATAACCCTATTCATGATTTTTTATTTACAATTTTGCCATTTTTAACTATTTGATTTCTTAAAATTTACCACTTTGCCATCCTTCTTAGTAATTTAAATTAGATGTTTAATTTCAAATAAATATAGTTAAAAAATTATTAATCTAATATTTGAAATCATTATATATTTGGAAAGGGCTCGTTGAGATCTTTAAAATGAAACTAAGATTAATTTATTTTAGTATTATTATAAAATTATTAATTTTTAAATTAAATAAATAAGTATCAGATATGAAATTTTAAATACGGGGATCTATTTAAAGGAAATTATGAATAGAAAGGAATATAGAGCTTCATCATTCGACTATGGATTTTCCTCCAGAGGGCCAAGAGGATTTTCTGATCTTCTTAGAGGAAACGAATATGAATTTCCCACTGGAAATCAAGGAGGATTTTCTCAATTTGCGGGCGAAGCTGGTTCTGTAGGAAGAAATGAATATGGTGGTTCTTCGAGAGATCGGGATGGAACCGGTAGTTATAACGATAATGGCCTGCCAGAATTTTAATTGTCTCTTATCATATTTTATGTTTGAGGTTTATGTTTGCGACTTATGGTATGTTGTATTAGAGGTTAATATTTGCTTTCTTGTTCTATCGATGTATGCTTTCACTGTTATTTCAGAATTTCTTCTTTTATGATATGTTGTATTGCAGTATTAATATTGGGTTCATTTTAAAGCTCTCATCGACACCTTTATAATGTTATAAATTTTTTTCCCAAATAAATTATTAACAATGAAAGTATTAGCGTAAACTATATCCAACATTCTTTAATTTATATGGCTTTTTTGACAAAAAAATAAAAAGAAAAACATTTGGAGAGTGTGGGTTGGAGCAACCCTCCAAATTTCACCCTCTAAATTGGAATATTCCTAGAATATTCCAATTTGGAGGGCCAAATTTGGAGGGTTTGGTTGGAGATGCTCTAAGCAGACTACATTAGTTTACAAACCACGACCTAATTTATTGATAAGAAGAACGCATAGTTACAAGTAGAACGCATCATTTCTACAAGGTTATTTTTCACAAGACCTCCGTATACTATGGGGCGCTTGGTAAGAGTGTGCCTGTACGGTTGTACCTTAAAATTTGCACATAAATCCCTCCTAAATTTTGAATATCAGAGAAGACCTAATAATTTTGGAGAGTTTGACAAAATCCCAATGAACTTTTCGAAAACTTTCACAGACTGAACTATCCTTCTTCGTTAAATAACCCCCTGTTCAACTAAAAATGTGAAAAACCTGTCCCCATATTTTGCCCAATTTTCCTTCATTCCCTGTTTCCAAGTAATTCTAAAACGGCATTTGCCTCAAAATTAGGTGAATGATTGAATCCTTTAAAAAAGTTCAAATTTGTTTGTGAAGTTCTCCAAAGTCTAGGGGGTTTTCTCCTAGATGTCTCAAATTATTTTTTAACAATTTTGATAATCTCAAAGTTTCAATTCCATTTCAGCTTAATATATATTCTCATTTAGACTCATTAGATTTTTTGTTCAAAAATTGTATCACATGCTTACATTTAAGTCCATTATATCTAGTTGATAGAGATCCATGCAACCAAATGTCCTCAATACCGGTGTCAAATGCTAAGTGCGAGATGCGAGATGCAAATTTAATAAAAATCTCAGCAATGATATCAAAATGAAATTACATCGAAGCTTTTACATATGAAAGTGTTTAAATGATACTTTCGGGTATCAAATTAAAAAATGAGTAAACTATAGGGTGCTAATGTGAAACTAAACATTTTATTATGTTATTAAATGAGTAAATTGCACCAACCGCAAGACCTTTCAGCATTTTGAAATTAAACCCCCAATAACTTTCAAAATCGCACCAAACCCTCAATAGCATTTTGGAATCGCAGAAAACTCCCAATAGAGTTCTGCATGTTGCAGATAACCCCCATTAATTAGAAAAAACCAACAGAAAAAAGCATTTGAAAGATATTGAGGGTTTACTGTAATTAACCCAAAAGGTATGGGCTTTTCTGCAAACGTTATTGGGGTTCTAGTGAGATTTTGAAAATTGTGCGGGTTTACTCGATAATTCGTAACATCCAATTATTTAATGCCACCGATCATTATTAACCATCTTTATTCTAGCAAACTTTATTAGAGCATCTCCAACAGCTTCCTCATTTTATTGGTGTTCTTACTTTTGAAGAATTTTGGGTTTTTTTTGGTCCAACAGATTCCCCATCTCATTCCCTAAAATAGGGATGGAGGAGGAAAAAAGAAGAGTCTTCCCCAAATCTGGGGCGTTCTTCAAATATTTAGGGAAAGCTTGATCATAAATGTAGCACGTTCTTCAAGACGAGATGGAGGGGAAAATAAATATAAAACAAAATCTGTAATTACAAAAAAACTATGGGGACAGTTCCAATGCATAAGAGCATCCTAAAATAAGAATGTAGAATATTTTTATTATTGTAATAAATACAGGATTCTTCAAAATCAGAAAGATGTTGGAGTTTGGACCAAAAATAATTTGGAGTATGCCTTTGGGGAAACTATTGGAGATGCTCGGCCTCTCTCTCAATCTTTAGAAATTGGACCTCATCAGGCGCTATTTCTCTATCTAATTCGAGCTTTTCTTAATCTTCGTTGATCCTTGCGTGCTCAAATAGGTAAAACTTCTTTAATTTCTTGGATTTGATTTCTCCTTTTTTACCAAAGAATTGTCTTTTACGGAATTATATCTAATTTCGATCAATTCGTTTAAATCTTTGTGTCCTCGCCTTTAATTGATGTTTAGAAGTAATGGGTTTTTGATCTTCTCATTGAGATGATAGTCCGGAACAAAATTTCGACATAGAGTGAGAGAATAGGGTATTATTCTACAATTTAGTGTTTTGTACTGCTCAATTTATAGATTTCTCATGTATTTAAGTGAGAGATTTAGTTTCTTGTGTAATTATTTGAAACGAGAAGTAGCATTGTACTATTAGCCTTTGATTTATTGAGTGGTTTTTTATCGATGAGTGGTTTTCATGAACATATCAGATTAAAGTGGAACTCTTGCTAGCATATTGAATGAATGCCCAGTTGATATTCTTATTGATATTTCTATAAATTGGTTTACATGGTTTCAGATTTATCAAGTTGTTTTCGGATTCAGGATGGGATCTAGTATTACTCAATGCCCTTCTGGAATCAGGGGTGTGCTCTATGATGAATCTAAGAACCAGCATTCCAAGTACAGTTTCTTCAGTTCTTCCTATTGCTTGAAGAGGTTAACTTCCAGATCCATTACGTGCCCGAGTTCTGTGGATATGCATCCACTCAAGGTATTACGAAAAATTGGGATTCCGTTAAGAAGCATTAGGAATCTTATTTCTATTCCCGACTGTTGCTAGAAAAGAAAAAAATATATATACGTTTTGGTACAAAGGTAAACTTTACTCATGAAAATACAGAGTTTCAGAAACAAAATTATGGTTGGAGAAAATAGATTGGAAATATCTATGAAAATTTCCCGATAAAGGATTACTTTTGACAATTAAATTACTGAATTTTCCTGAATATTTTTGGTGTTTCCTTTTGAGAAATAAATATTGCCAATTTATAAATGATGTGTTTTCGATCTCAGGCATTCACTATCTCTGGTAAACCAAAATTATCTTTTGCATCTGCATCAATGGACTTGATCAACTAGTTATTATTGATAATTGAACCTTTTGTTGAAGCCCCTTTAACCATTAGGTCAAAACTCCGAAGTTGTGATAAGAGTTAAGGTTTATATTTTTATATTCTAACATTTCCTCGTTGATTGAGAGCCGTTTTAAAGTCTGCAACATTGCATTTTAGACTATAATTTGTGAGAATTGAGCTGCTAATATGCAGCCTATTCATTTTGTTTGAATAATAAATATGAAAGGTGAAACCCATAATTTTTTTTTTGGTTTTGTATAAGTACCTATGAGGATGAGAAGAACATCCTCTAGCAAAATACAGGTATTTGACATCATGTTTATAATAAATTTATCTTTTCGTGTTTGTTTGGTGTAAATTTTCTGCTTCCTTAACACACGTAAATCTGTATGAGGGTTCCCATGTTATTACTATTATTTTTATAAGAAAAAAATTCAACAATAACTGTAGTTGAAAACAAGGTTATTGATAGCGGATAGCGTCGCGTAATGGTGAGGCATCGCTAAGGCTATTTGGGGCTATTGCGGTCAAGGTTATCGATAACGGATAGTGTTGCATAGCGGTGAGACATCGCTAAGGCTATTTCGAGCTATTACGGTAAAATAGCGGTAAAAAACGTAAAGTCAAATAGCGGTCTAATTTAGATATGTATAAACACTAAAAAAGTAAAAAAAAAATTTAAGAAATCTAAAAGTACATATTGGATGATTTAAAGAAATCTTAAACGTGAAATAGACATGTAACCATTACGTATTATACCGAATATGACTGGAGGAGTCAAAAAGTCATCGTTTTCGAGAAGAAGAGCTTAGCGGTGACAGGATTGTCCTAAGAGGAGCTCACGGTGAAGGAAGTGAGAGAAAGTATCAAGGTAGGTGTCAGAAGCTATGAGAGGTGACGGGAGTATGCTAAAAATCACAGGAGACGGTGGAATACAATTGTCAATGGTTGAGTTTAATTTTAAAAAAATAAGCCTCAAACCGCTTTTAAATAGCAGTCAAAAAGCAAATTTCAGATGCAATCGCTCATTATTTATCGTTATGACACACTATTGGCCGTTTTTGCGAATAGGCATATTTCGTAATATGTCACCGCTATTGCGCGATAACGTAGCGGATAATAGCATCGTGGGAAGGGACCACTAACGTTATTAGCGTCGCTATTGCGGGGCTATTTACCGCTATTTAACAGTGATTGCGGTAAAATAGCGCTAAAAAACGTAAAATCAAATAGCGGTCTAATTTAGATATGTATAAATACTAAAAAAAGATTAAAGAAAAATTTAGAAAATCTAAAAGTACATATTTGATGATTTAAAGAGATCCTAAACATGAAATTGACATGTAATCGTCACATAATACCAAAGACAACTGGAGAAGAAATCAAAGAGTCATCGTCTTCGAGATGAGCTGAGAGGTGAGAGGACTGCTCTAGGAGGAGCTCACGGTGAAGGAGGTGAAAAGAAGTGCTGAATTAGGTGTCAGAGGCTATGAGAGACGACGGGAGCTAGCTGAAAATCCCGCGAGGCTGTGACATATTACGGAATATGCGCTTTCTGTTAGGGCGCACTATTAGCTGCTTTTGCAAACGAAAAACACATTCCATAATATGTCACCGTTATTGGGCAATAGCGTAGCGGGAAGGGACCGCTAATGCTATTAGCGTCGCTATTACGAGACTATTTACCGTTATTTATAACAGTGGTTAAAAATTACTGAATATCAATACCCCCTCCCCCCAACACCATCATAACAACAATGACTACGAAGTCTTTGTTTCGTATCTTTGGATCAACTACATGAACCCCAAATCTTAAACAACAAGGCTTTCATCCCAACTATTTGTGGTCAACTACATGAATCTTATTCTTCCACTCAGTTCTGTCAAGGACTATCTGCTCTACTAAGTTAATCATTACCATATTCTTCTAACAACCAACAAAATTCTCTTAGGCCTATTTGTAGTCCACTTTATCTCCATTAATTAGGATCTTATCACTTCTTCTTGGTGCATTTCGTACTCTCTACTACACATGAACAAACCATCTCAAATGATTTGCTCTTGCTTCGTTTATCTGCAACAGGTGTGACCTCTAACTTTCTACAAATGCACTCATTCGTTATTCTAGCTTTTTATGTACATATGATACCCAAGATTTAGTCCTATATTGGATATTTATTAAATGATCGAATGGTTTATAATGTAAGTCAAATGGTTCAAGAGCAACTAGTGCTAGCACATTTTGGCAATTGATTGAGCCAAAAATAAGTTGATTTTAGTGGGTCCTATAGCTTACATTGCACCAACGGGGTCATGGGCTCACGTGATAAATGGTATCCGAGCAGTTTGTCAGCCGAAGATGTGGATTTAAGTATTATGCGAGACTAAGTACTAAACCACGTGAGTTCAAAGTGAGGGCCATCTCTATAGTCCGTATAAGTCACTTTTAGAGTCCACATTGCCTAATGCTGATATCGGGATAGATCGATTGTCATGCTGCGATGAGGACGTTGCGAAATTATAATGGGGAATGGTGATATCCTAAGATTTAGTCGCATGTCGGATATTGATTGAATGATTGAATATGTTATAGTTCAAGTCAAAAGAGTTCAAGAGCAACTAGTGTTAGCACTTTTTGGTAGTGGATGGAGCCAAATAATGAGCTACTCTCAATGGGTCCCACGGCTTACATTGCGCCAACAGGCTCGCGGGTCCAGGTTGTGACAGTACATGCACTCGTCTCTATTTCTGCCACGCTCATTTTTTGCACATTAATCACCCAACAGATATTTTGATCCATAAAATATTGTGCGTTTTATAGTTGTCCTATAGATTTTCCCTTCAGTTCAGAGGTATTCTTTGAAATAAATAAAGAAAAAAATACAGCGAAAGATTAAAATCATCTGCTAACAGCATTGCAACCGTACCTGGCCTGTAACTTGGCGACTAAACTACCATCTCCGACTCCATAGTGCAATCCTTTAGAACACAAAATAAGCTAAGGAGGAAGTTAGATAATCTGATTGGTTATGCAGTTTAAGCTCATCCGCTCATAGGATAACCTGCAAAAGTTCCTGTGAGATTGGTGTAAAGAGTCACCCATCTCTATTTGATAGTGGTTGGTATTGTTCTTATTAGTGGTTTGAAGTACCGATTATAAACCCCAAGCCTGTGCCTTTGCCCATATCATTCAACTACACAACTGGGTTTTTCACTTTCAAGGAACCTTACTTTCCGATATGATATATCATTTTTGATAAGTTGTTATAATTTGGTTTCTGCAAATTTCATTGTTCAGATGCAGGGCTTTTACAAGCAGTTATCTGCCCTTCCACATGATGGTGATTTTTACTGGGAGAAGTCTCCAACACCCATTCTCGATATGGTTGAGACACCGATTCATTTAAAGAATCTATCTATTCAGGTCTTTGACGTGCATAAATACACTATGTTCAAGTTTTCATTTGATATTGTTTTAGTATTTATTGGCTCAGTAATGTGACAACTGATCTTCTTAAAGTGCAGGAACTAAAACAATTAGCTGAGGAAATTCGTTCTGAGATATCTTTTTTAATGCCAAAGATAGATGTTCCTTATAAAGCTAGTCTTGGAGTAGTGGAACTGACCGTTGCTTTACACTATGTTTTTAATGCTCCAGCAGATAAGATTATGTGGGATGTCGGTGAACAGGTTTGGATAGCTATCTTTTGCATAAATTCAGTTCATTAGTCATAAAACCTGATTAGTTTCATAAAAAATAACCTGTGATTTAATTGTGCAGACATATGCACATAAACTTCTTACAGGAAGGCGATCCCTTATGCATACCCTTATGCAAAAACATGGTATCTCAGGTTTCACATCTCGCTTCGAGAGTGAATACGATGCCTTTGCTTCCGGGCATGGGTGTAACAGTGTTTCTGCTGGACTGGGTATCATTCTGAATCTCCTCCTAGGACCTGAATGCAAATCCGATCTACTTCTGTAGGAGAGTGGTTTTAAATCTATCCATTAGGAGAGCTGAGATTTCAACCGCTTACCCTTTTTTTCTCATGCAGTTGTGATCTTATCTTGCAAAAAATATGAATCCAAAATCATTTCCCTCGTGGAAAAGATTCTTATAGGATTTGTACTCCTAGTATCTTCATTTGACCATGAAAATAATGTTTTGCATGTTCTATTTTTCACTTCACCAATAAAAACAAACTTATTTTGTGATAGTTTATGATTTTATTAAATTCAAAACAAATGGTTAGTCCTGTTCTTGTCTCTGGTTGTTTTGAACCATGAGCTATTAAAGGCTGTGTTGTTTCTTTCTTCTTTTCCACCCGCCACTCCTATAAGGCTATAATTCTACATTCTTTCCCTTCTTGATTATTGCTTTCTTTTGTACTTCATATAAATATGATCTACTTGTCACTCACAATTGTATTGAAGGTTGGTCCCAATGTCCTTGCCTCTGTGGATAAAAAGATGCTTGTTGTATGGAGCGTAACCGGTAGGCAGTACATGATTTTGGGATGGTTATGAGTGTACTTCCTAAACTGTGAAAGTCTAATGTGTTGTGACTGAGGTGTGCTAACTTAAATTGAGGGGCCGGGCCAGGTGTGAGACTAATGGGCCCCAGCCTCTCTTAGAATAATAAAAAGTTCAAACAAATAGGAGGTCAAATGCGTAGGATGCCTTGAACTTTCTCAAACTCCTTTCAGAGAAAGCCAACAACACTCACTTCCTCTACTTTCCCTTGTTCCCGTAATGAGTTCCCCGTTCTTTTGGTTCAGCCGTCGGCCCAAACGACGAGGAAGCCAAACAGCACTTGCTCTCCATCTTTTAATGGCAAGAGTTAAAAGATCATTTTCTGCAACGAAAATTATTAAGAGTGACTTTCGAAACCGAATGGGAGATGAGTATACAAATGATTGTTCGGAGTCTTCTATTAAAAATGATATATTTTGTCACATTGATGGGAAATATATCATAAACAGTTTTCAAGGTTCTTAAATATACCATGAAACTTTGCTGCTTTACATGATAAAACAGTAACTACAATACAATTTCCATCTATTTGTAATTCCAATTTTCCACTTCTTAACTAGAGTCAAGTCCTATTAGGATCTAGTCACGTACATAGGTTTCAGGAAGGAAGTGTTTATTTTTATTTTTATCTTCTCATCTTCAGGAATGGCAGTTGCACGAGATATCAAAGGAAAGAAGGACCACATTGTGACTGTTATAAGTAACTATTCAACAATGGCCGGTCAGGTGTATGAGGCAATGGGCAATGCTGGATACCTTGATTCTAACATGGTGGTGATATTAAATGATAGTCGACATACCTTACACCCCAAGCTAGAGGAAGGCCAAAAAAAGGCAATCAATGCCTTATCCAGTACTTTAAGCAAGCTTCAATCTAGTAAATCGTTTCGGAAGCTTAGGGAAGCTGCAAAGGTACAAGGTCATGTTTTCCATTTAGAACTTTAATAGCACATTGTTAGTTGTGGATGTTGTGTCAAAGATGAACATATCAACTTGAACTGTACGAAAGTAGGCCTGAATGGAGTTTTTAGAAAAATTAAGATTTTAGTAATGGCTGCTGATAATCTATGTTTTGGGCATAAGACTAAGGTCATGACATGGTTTACAGTCTGAAAGTCTATCCTGCCTAAAATAGTGAATATACAGTGATTTTCCTTGCTAACCTTGTGCTGAGTATAGTTAAGAGTTCACCAGGCTTCATTACATTTCATGACTAGGTCATATGATCTGATAATTTTATTTCGTATTCTATCATCTTTACAGTCCTAAATACTTACTGTTCTGACCTGATATATTGGTTTAATTTCACAAAACTCCCTGAACTCAACTAAACTGTTTTTGAGAGAAAAAAAAAATCCTCCTCCCCCTCAATTGACGGTTTTGTGAGATAAAAAAGGTTTTTTTTTTTTTTTTGGGGGGGGTATGTGCAAACCACCCAAAGTTTAGGGGTTTTTTGTGGAATTAATCCATATATATTTATAGTAACATCATATACTTATTTGATCCTCCTACCTCTCAATTAAAGGGTTTTGTGAGATACAAAAGTTTAGGGGGTTTGTGTGCAAACCCCCAAAGTTCAGGGGTTTTTGTGGAATTAACTCATATATATTTGTAGTTACATCATATACTTATTTGAATTTCAGTACCAGCTAAAGCTTAGACTTTGGTTTTGCCCATATTTCATGTCAGAAATTGATCAAATGGATATTGTTTTCAGGGTGTTACTAAAAGGATTGGTAAGGGAATGCATGAATTGGCAGCCAAGGTTGATCAGTATGCGCGTGGTATGATAGGTCCCCTCGGAGCAACTCTTTTTGAAGAACTGGGGCTTTATTACATCGGTCCAGTTGATGGGCATAACATTGGTGATCTGATCTGTGTGCTTAATGAAGTGGCATCCTTAAATTCAACTGGACCTGTGTTGATTCATGTGATCACAGAAGAGGAAAAAGGGTCAGATGAACATCCCAAAAGCAGGTTAGCGTTTGATCAACAAGGTTCGAACATATTCTTCTTTCCGGTAAATTTCCGTACGATCTTTTTGTTGGGCTTTCTTGTTTACTCACAATGAGAAATCATGTAAGATGTTTATTGAAGATTTGTTTCCTTTAATACTAGATCCTTTTGGTCTGATGATAATCATTGTAGTCTGTTATATCTGAATGATTAGATGAACAAATGTGATTTTTCTCTTGTATACACTGTGCTGAGTTTTTCTCTTTTGGTATTATGTATAAATTGAATAATTAGACAAAAATATCTAAATGTTGATCGCATATAGTCTTCTAACAAGACTTTGAGTATTAAAGGTGGGAATGTTGCTATGAACTTAATGGGTGCAGTGTGCATCTAGCAGACCTACTGAAGTTATTTTCTTCATTTGCGCTATTTAGGGTTCTTACTGTTATTTAATTTAGATGACTAATATGAAAGTTCCTTTCCACCATTTGTCAAGTTATTCTTGCAAGTACTGGAGGAATCATTGTTTTAGTGTCCATTTTTCTATTCATCTAGCTTTATGTAATAGCCTTTTCTGCTTCAATGGAAACCAAATTGTGACAATCTTTGCCAGATCAAAACCAACATAGTCATGAAGCACTTAAAATCTAGGTGCAACTGATAGGACATACAAGTCAAAGGAAGCTTAGTGTTCTCACCACTAGCGCAGGAACAACTGTTGTTTAGTGTCAGATAAGACAATGTGAATTCATGAATTCTTTTCTTTAATTCTCTATCAAAGTTTTTTAGACCTACCTCTCTGGCCTTGTTCTCCATTAATTATAATTCAATCACTTTTTTAACTGAAATATTAGCAACCTCTGTTGCACCTGATCAAACTATTTCAATTTATTCTCTCCATTCACTCTAAATAGCAGTTGACCTTTCTGCCTCATACTGTTCTCAGTAGGAGTAATATCTAATTTCTTAACCTTTTTTCTTAGTGCATTTCACTCATTCATCACGGCGTTATGATCTCTGCTATACTCATTCCCTGGCATGTTTCGTGATTGTTCAGTCTGATCCCTAAAACATTGAGTTATAGCATTATATTAGATCCTTTGAACTTTATGATATTTTATGAGCACATAGGACCATCTTGATTAACTTTGATAAATTATACCGTACATCAATTTCATCATCTTAATGAATGGCGGATCATGAGTAAAGAAATTTTATGGTATTCTTTGACCATCAACCTGTACTCTATGTCTATTCATTCTCATAATTTTGCTAAATTTACATTTTACATATTTTTTCCTTCTAAATTTTAACTTTGGAAGTTTACCTTCACTTTTCTACTTTTAATGTTATTCTTCACCATTCTATTAACCAATAGTATGTTATCAGAAAACCACATACAGTACATCGCTTCATCCTAAATATGTATAGTAAGTCTTCCATATCTAATGCAAAAGGTAAATCTCTAAACCTGATCCTTGAGGCAAGACTTTGGCACTCGGAGATATTTCTGCCCAATCGTTTACACTCTACTTGGTTTATTATACATGTCTTTAATCAACCAATGTACTTGCTAGTTACTTTTTCCCATAAAATCACCACATCATCTTTCTAGTACTCCAGCATAAGTTGTGTTTCCCCCAAATCAATGAAAACTTAAGTATATCTCTTCTATTTTTGTCTCTTCATCAATTGTCTAAATAGGTAAAAAATTCCACAAGTAGTCACCTAAAATGAAACAAAATTAGTCCCTGATACAGTTGTTTTCTTTTTTAGTTTTTGCTCAATTAGACTATTCCAACTTTTCTAAGTGATACCATGATAATGTGAACAATTTTGAATCTCTCTTTTATTCTTTAAATGGTATAAGGTCAAGGAGGTAATCTTTCACTTGTCATATAGTTGCACAGTGTCAGTAATCTTATTGAATAACTTTGTCAATCAGCCTAAGCCTGTTTCTCCAAGTCAACTCCAAGCTTGTATGGGGATATTGTCGGATGACTTTCTGATTGTCATTTTCTTTTAAACCATTCTTGACCTCATAAATAATTTTTTTTACGATACTTCTTGTTCCTATCATGCATTTATCTGTTTGGATCTAATTTCTAGTGTTGTGTCTAATTATCGTTATCAAAATAGCTCATCCTCCACCTCTCTTTAATTTCAGATTGTGTGAATATGGCCATCAAGGCATGGACAGGTCTCCTAACTATTGGGTCTGGAGTTCATTGAAGGGTACATATATAAATAAGAGGAAAGTTGTCTACAAACTTGGTTAGGGAATATATAAGCAACTCTTATTCAGAGGATGCTTTATCAATGGGTTGAACTGTGAAGTAGTCTTGAAGCCAAACCCAAACATGGTTGCGACTCGGTGTATTAGTCAATATTATGTTTATGCTTATTCCTTATTTTTACGTCAATACACTTAAGTTTCATCTTGATGCTTTCCAGCAAGAAAGGACTAAAACGATTGAAGCCATTAGAATGTATGATTTTTGGTTGCATCAATTAGTCAAATCTTCTAAGGGAATATTTCTCCACCGGATATCCTCCCATTGCTATATCAAGAATAGTTGTAATTGGTTTTTGATAACTGAGCATAGTAGTGCATTTGGGAGGAATTCTTGTATTCCTCTCCCTAAATTATTTATTAGTTCCATATAATTTATTTATCTGAATAGAAGTAAATTTAAGAAACAAACCTTTTCCTCATCATAACAGGGAGCTTAAAAACCAGTCCGTTAACTCTCTCTACAACATACACCAAGTGCTTTGTAGAAGCATTAAGTTCAGAAGCAGAGAGAGACAAGGAAATAGTCGTAGTTCATGCTGGCATGGGGATGGATCCATCACTGCAACTTTTTCAGTCAAAGTTCCCTGAAAGGTTTTTTGATGTGGGCTTGGCTGAGCAGCATGCCGTTACTTTTTCAGCTGGTCTGTCTTGTGGAGGGTTAAAGCCATTCTGCATCCTTCCATCAACATTTTTGCAAAGAGCATATGATCAGGTGTCATTTGGTTGCTCAATTTTCACTTCTCCATAAATATCTCTCTCCTATCTTTTAGTATTAGTTACATGTTGGGCAAGCTTGCTCAAAACTTCATGTAATTTTTGTAAGATTTGATGATTCGCTATTTCTTTAGCACATATTTTCTGAGAAACTCATTTAGTTATATTCTTTTAGGGTTAATTGGGGATAGACCCCTGGTCCTATCACTCAATTGCGAATAATATTTCAGTAGTTCTATTGTTGCAAATAGACCTAATCAGTGAACTTTTCTCACTCTTTTACCCTCATTGAAAGAGAATTTTTTTTCGGACAGATAGACCTCCCCAAGGATAAGCCTCCGCCTAGCCCGCTTAGGCATACGCCTAGGCCTAGGCGGTACCTTGACCGCCTAACTAGCGTCTAGGCGATACCTAGGCTGCCCACCTAGGTTTTATCAGTGTTTAGGGGAGCATTGTCTGCTTAAGTGGACAACATCATTTAGGCCTTGATGGTGATTTTCTGTGTTGCAGCCTCCACATTCTCCAACCTTCTTCAAAATCGTTTAACCTCCAAATATAAACATCTCCACTATCTCCTCCGACCTTCAGCAAAATTTCCTCGACCACTACTTAAATGAAGAAAGAAATCTGCCTAGACACTAGTCCGACACCTAAACTTTCTATAACATTAACATTTACTATCAATTATTATAATTAAAAAATAAAAAAGAAAATCTCCTAGGCTCTAGGCGACGGGCCCAACACTTAGGCCTCCTAGCGCTTTCTATAACATTGTTAATTATTATTTTGGTTATTTAGCATTTAAGTATGCATGGTTTGTTGTGGATCTAGGATTGCTATCTTTTTTTTTGCAAATTTATATGAATTTAATATATATTTTTTATCAATTATTATAAAAAAATAGGCTGAAACGCTTAGTCGCTAGTGTCATCTATAACATTGGTGTGATGGTAAAGGGGTCTATTCGCCAAGAATAGAACTACGGGGGACCTATCTAAATTGGTCAATAGTTTTTTTTTTTTGCGGGGGGGGGGGGGGGGGGGGGGGGTTAACCCTATTTTTGGTTGGTCTTTTGTTGAGAACATCTAACTTCATGTTTTACGCACAAACCACTGATTCCAATATATTTTCTGATAATATTTGTGCTATTTAGGTTGTCCAAGATGTAGATTGCAGAAAGTACCTGTACGTTTCGCAATTACAAGTGCAGGCTGGTGGGATCGAAGGTCCAACTCAGTGTGGAGCATTTGACATAACATTCATGGTTGCTTGCCAAAATATGGTTGTCATGGCTCCATCTGACGAAGAGGATCTCGTTGATATGGTGGCGACTGCTGCATGCATCGATGATCGGCCTGTTTGCTTCCGGTATCCTAGGGGATCTATTGTTGGTCTTAACATTAGTTTGCGCAGCGGGCAGCCACTTGAGGTAATTATGCTCTTTTTGCTGTCATGTTATGGATAATGATTAATCCAAGCGTCCACATAATATGATGGGCACAGATCGTACTAATTTAACTCATGTGCCAGTTGTTTTTACTTGCTGGTTAGGAATCTTAAGTCCTTAGCTTTGCAAGTTATCATTCTTGCCAACTATAATATGAAATCATCATGTTACATGACTCCAGATGTCTTATGCTGTCAGTTGCTTTAGAAATACAGTAATATCCAGGAATATTATAGTTTCAGCGCTCAACTCAATACAGATACACAATTATTGGATGCAGAGTATTTATCTTTTTCTCGAGCTTTTACGGCTTCATGCAATGTGAACTTGATAACCAGGGAGATTTGTAAGATTTTAAATCTGTTGGGAATCATCTGCAATGACTGGTTTTGTACAAAGAGGTCATCTGTCAATAGTTCAGTGTTAAGCTCCGATCTTTAATAACCAATTGTCAAATAGAAAGGCATCAGCATAATAGGTTCTGTAATTTACTTACTGAATTATGTGTCTGAACTCTATGCTTGATCTAGCTGACTCAGGTTACAAGTGAGCTTAACTAGTTTACTAATTCATGGCAACTACAACAAGGCCTCTATCTCATCACTCTTGGTGTCGGCTACGTGATTCCAACTCTTCCACTCAGTTTTGTTGAGAGTCATTTCCGTCACTAAGTTAATCACTATCCACTAAGTTAATCGTTATCATATCATTCTTAAAAGTTTCTAACCAAGTTCTCATTGGCATACCTCTAGTTCTCCTTTCTCCATAAATTATTACCTTTCGTTATTGGTGCTTTTAATATCCTCCGCTTGAAACAAACCTTCTAGATGAACCATCTTTCTTGTCTCATGTCTCTGACTCGATAGCAATTTTGTGGTTGAAACAAACCTTCTAGACGAACCATCTTTCTTGGCTCATGTCTCTGACTCAATAGCAATTTTGTGGTCTATGATTCTTGCTGAAGGCCCTAAACCTGACGTTGATACTTGCTGTTTGATTATTATCTGATGTGGTTTTCTCACACTCTCAGGTCGGAAAGGGGCACATTCTTATAGAGGGGAAAGATGTGGCTTTGCTTGGGTACGGTTCCATGGTTCAAAACTGCCTTATGGCTCAATCTCTTCTTGCTAGGCTCGGCGTAAACGTCACTGTTGCCAACGCAAGATTTTGCAAGCCCCTTGACATTGAGCTCATTCGGAAGTTGTGCAGAGAGCATCAGTTTCTTGTCACTGTTGAAGAAGGAACAATTGGTGGATTTGGTTCACATGTATCACAGTTCATGTCACTTGATGGTTTGCTTGATGGAAGAATCAAGGTAAAAGGTCTTTCGAATTTTTTTATAGGAATCAGAATGAACTGTTGAGATAAATTAGAAGGCTAGCCATCATCACCATAAACATATGGTAAATTTATTTGGCAAATTTTAGAAAGAACTGTCATAACCTATTCTCATTAGAGGAAACTACCGCAAGCTTCGAGACCAGCAATAAAATCCCCTTACAGCGGCGGTTAAGAGTAAAAGTAAAAAGTATAGGATATCCCTATTCAAACTTCTGAATTCAAAATTTATCTTATTAGAAAAGTCTTAAGGGGTAAAAATATTCACGAAAAGAAAAAGGTGGATGCTTGTCACCTGCTATGGTGGTTACTCATGATAGTGAAATTTTTTGATAGTTTAATAAAAATATTTAGGACACTTGTCTGATTTTTATCTAAATTTATAAGGGTAAATTGTAAATAACCCCCTTCATCTATTCTTTCAATAGGCACTTATTGTTGCTCAACTATTTCAGTAGCATTTATGACCCCCTGGATTGGCATTTTGAGAAGGATAAATTGCTAACTAAAACCCTCGTTTTTATGAATTGAGGGTGGATAACTACTACTGAAGTCTTTGTAACTCTGTTATCGGTTTTGTATGTCAGTGGCGCCCTATTGTATTACCAGATAACTATGTGGAGCATGCATCTCTAAAAGAGCAACTTGAAATGGCTGGCCTTTCCGGTTATCACATTGCAGCGACAGCATTGAATCTGTTGGGTCGAAATCGCGAAGCCCTTCTTTTATTGCGATGAAAAGAGTGACAAGAGAAAAGAAGAAGTGCCCAGAGAGAAGCAATCTATAGCTTGTTCTTGAAGATTGTATAGCAATATGGCTTTCGATAAGTTTCGCCAAGATTTCTCCAATTTAGCGAGAGTTCTCTCGAGACAATTGTGCGGCAAAGGAGCAGTGGAGCTTTTATTTTCATGCTTTGTCTTTGCTGCCTGTGGTTGCGCTTGTGGTTTTCGCTGTTGTGTGTATATTATTTTGATGATGACCTTGTTCTGTTGTAACCTCACTGAACTGAACGGTTGAAATGTGAAACACGTTCCGTTGATAACAGCTTGTAGCTTCATGATTTACTCTATGGTGTAAAACAGCTTCATCTGAAAATGTTGTCTGTTTGTTTCTTCTCAGGAATTACTTCATTTTTTAAGCCATATCAAGGAGCAAAGCGAGCCTCTCTAGACTAAAATAAAGGGGGTAGAAAAAGCATACGAAGAAGATAAAATTTGGGAACTCTTCAAGTCTTTTCAAAGGCGAAGTGTCAAGCACTAAACAAGTCACTTGAGAATAATTTTGGGATGAGTCCTGCAATGAAGAAGTGATACGCTCCAAATCAGTATGCAATGTGTATCTAACGTCAGAGGATTCGCGTAAAGATATATTTGAGTTATGGGCCGAATCCCGATCCAACTAGAAAGTCGTTGTGTTGTGTGTTGGCCCAAAATGACCGACTAAAAAGAATTTTTCTTTTTTGCTTGGTCTCAAGTTCTCTCGTGCGGAGATATGTTACGTTCCCTTCTTTATAGATTCCCATATTTTTTTTCTTTTGTGATATGTCAAACTTTTAAATTTCATTTTGTTATTGTCGAGAAAAAATTTCCTAACTTTATGATATGATTTTGCTCTCGCTTTAAGTCCAGTCAGATGATCTCGTCAATTCCCTTATTTTCAAGATGCTTGAACTCTCTTGCTGACTAATTCTATAAAGCCAACAAAATTAACATCAAATAATTACCATCAAAAGTTATTTTCGTCCCCTCATATTATCGAATGTTTTATTTTTTTTGGGAAATGACATAAGTAGAATAATGTACGAAGCTTGATTCTCATCCCGTGATTCTTGTGTACCACCATTTTCCCAAGAGAGTCGCTAAATGTATGTGACTCGTGACAAAGATTTCACGAGACCAACCAATCCAAAAAAGTGTAAACCTTTTTCTTCTTTTTTCTTGACTAAAATGCACAAACATTGATCCTTTTTTAGTCAGTTTCATACCCCTTAAAAAAAAAACCATCAAAATCTTGTTCCAATAATCTCCAATCTTGATCACGAGCCACTCAATACCACGGATCTCTCAAACCACTTCTTCCCAGATTTAGGAGGACCAAGAAATTTCAAATTGTTAACCGACGTTGATGAAACTCATAAAAGTCCAAATACGAACATAGTTCCAATCAACTGACATTCACAAGATTTCCTGCAGGACCACCGAAGCTAAGTGCGGAATAGGCGGCTAGGCTAGCTCACGAGAAAGCTACACCAAGGTCTAACTTTTTTTGTTTTGGAGAGGTTCTAACGATATCTCAGGATAGAAACTGTTGAACGCGTATCTATCGTGGATGAGCCAAGCCCAAGCGTGTAACATATAGAAGGTAATTAAGTTGTCCATGAAGGCCGGAGAGGCTAATTAATGTAGAACGAGGCTCATACTAAAAGTTAAACCTCCCCTAGGTTTTTTGCCCAAAATAAAAAAAATAATAATAAAAGAACCTCTTTGTTGTTTTCCTTGGTGGTTAATTCTTTTACCTTATCTTTTGAAGGATCTCATTTTCCTTTCTTTCTTTTTAATATGCGAAAACATCTTGCGGCTCCTACCCACATTTTCTATATAGATTTGGATTCTCTGTGCCATCCGAAGAAACGAAAAGGATGTTAGCAAACTTGTGGCATGAAACGAAAGGATAGGAAAATATATAGCTTTTTTTTACTTCCTTAAATTTCTTTATCCTTTGTGTCTTTAGTAGAGTATTTGTTCATACAACATTGGTGCACGTTACACTTGGAGAAAAAGTGTTAGAGGTTATTAATATCTAGTCTCGCGTCAGATATGATAAGAAAGAGCGATGGGTTTGAACTAGGAGTTAAGGACAATACCTAGCAGTTTTATCTTTTGGGTTAAATTTAATTAGTTCTTAGCCTATATATGCTTAAAGTCAACTGACTCCTAGATTGGGTCTGATTTCTTCCCCAATAAACAATATCAAAGCTAAGATAAAAAAAAAGAAGTTGAAATCCAATGTGTAGCTTGAAGGTGTGGGGAGAATGACCAAGATCAGGAGGACCTACGAATCAAGGAGACCTACGGATGATTGATAGCCATGTGTTATTAATATGTGAGTATGACTATAGGTCAAGAAGACCTACATATGCTTGATAATCATGAGTTATTAATATGTGAATCGGGTAGGATAAAAAAAGACTTGATAGCCATGTACTATTAATATATAAGTATAATCTCACATCGGACTGGATAAAAGACAAGTGATTGAGTTAGATGAGATTTTGAAATAATAAATTTTCAATTTGTTTATAAAGACCCGTTAATTTTTGGTTGGATCCGGCTACTCTCAACATAAAGGGGCAAGCTAGATAATTAATGCTCGCTAATATATCAATGGATATCGGGTCACAATGTTCATTCTAATCCTTGAAGAGGTAAGTTTTCCAATAAAAAGATGGAAGTCACCTGTTTCATCTGGTGTCGAATGAGATTGACATGGATAATATAATACTTTTACACTGAGCAGAAAATTCACCTACTCCCAAATCTTCATGCATATATAACTCATTATCACGTTCTTCCAAATTTACATTCAATCACCAATAACAACTCAATTAAAACAACCCACATGCTGTTAAGGACCTTCATTCCACTACTAATAAAAAATCATTAAAACCTTGAGCAATGCCAAAGGTAAAATAAACAAAAGCTTTGATTGCATTAATTTGTGATGTTCCAATGTACTTGTACAAAAGTTTTTCTATTTAACAGTACATCAACATAAACTTCTAGGGAAATCAAGTAATATTTTTAAATTGAATATAATAAGCAATGTTTAGCTGTCCCGTTGACAAAGTTCTATACATTAGTTGATGGAGCCTCGTCGAAAGCAAATTGCGTCATTGCTGATGTATCAGATGATTTACATCATTGCTGACGTAAATGAGTGACAAAATTATATAGCAGTAGGTTTATCGCTTCTTCGTTAGGAATCTTTGACATATAAAGAATATATCCTCGAAGATCATTATATTTCTAATTTGATACTAATTATTATAAGCATTATGATCGTGCTCGCATGGGTACATATTGTTTCTTTGGTTTGTATATCTAATTTTTTTTATCCTTTATGAGCTTTGTTTTTTATATTATAATGTTTCTAAATGTTAAATTGTACTAAAGTTTTTTAGTTTTGTCGCTTAGCCCCCATAACTTTTGGTATAAAACTCCCAATAATGATTGTTTTTTAATTACAAAGAGGTATTTTAAATATCTAAACTTTTCGGGTTGTTTTTTTTCTAAATTTGGAATTTTAGGGTCCGTTTGCAATTTTTAGATTTTTCAGAGGATTTTTTGCAATTTTAGATTTTGCAGAGGAGTTGTTTGTAGTTTTTAAAATCTCAAAGGTGTTGTTTGTATTTTTTTTTAATACTTTTAGGTATTTATTTGTATTTTTTGGATTATAG